CTGCCACGCCCGACGTCAGCCCATCCCTGACTTTAACAAGTCCCGCCATGGCAGCGTCCAGCTTTGTCGGCTCGCGCTCCCGAGTCCACAACCCCTCGCGACTTCTTCTCGGCGCGCAGCTCGGCTGCGAGGAGTCTCTGGGTCAGCCTCGTCTGCAATTTATGGTCCCGTAGGCCACCGAGGGGGGATACCTTGGCCAAGCCCTGCCTTAGGAGCTCTTCGTTCAAGGAGGTCCTTCTAAAAGGCAACTGCAGATGAAGAAAAACAAAAACAACTCAGATGATGTGCCTTTTATAACTCAAAACTTCCTTAAAAAACTGCTGGGTAAACGACATCTGACAAAGAGCTTATTAGAATAATTAAAAGCACAAGTAGTGGAATTGCTATTATTTGACTGATTTTAAAGAAACAAATTGAGCTAATAGTCCTCATGAAAGCTCGCAAATCACGCGCAAGTGGCTTTCGACAAAAGTTTACCAATAGACAAATGATAAAACCTGGCAACTTTTACCATTAAAATAACACTGTGGTTCTTCATGATCTCTTCTAGCCCACTCACATTTTTCAAATATTTGAATTGAAAAATTAAAATATTCACAATCGTTTTGTCTCCATCTAATTAATTGAAGAGAATACATAGAATAGGAGATATCATGCAATAAATTCAGAATATGAGCTAATCGAACTTTGGCATATCTCTCTTCTGTTCGATTATCTCATATTATGAATTTATTGCATGGTTATAGCTCTACAGATATGTATCGAGCACTGCGAATTGTGATAGAAGACGATTTTATTGGATAGAATAGGAGATATATTTATATGGAGGTGTTAGTTTGAATCATAGAGCTGTATTAAATTACTAAGAGTGCTATAAACTCCTCATTCTTACACGCGGAGATACTTTAAAGCCGTCCTGCACGCAGACATTTGAACTCTTGTGCGTGTTTGTAGAACATAATGAAATTAGATGGCGTGAATATTGAAAGTACAACGCACAAATACAACATACGCAAACAAGTGAAGTTCGTCATGACGGTTAAAAAAGTCATGGCAAAAATCATCTGCAGCCGATAAACGCACACGCGTGTTTGTGTTGTTTGCGCAGAGCAAAATGAAAACACTCATTTACTGATTGTGTGTTTGGGCGTATCGGCTTCGATAACGCTCCTGTATAGAATACAAACGCAGATATGCAAATAGCCATACAAAAGTCGTACAAAATTTCGAGTAGTATTCCATAGGTTTGTGCTCAAACATCAATGCGCCCAGCAGGCACCACTTTGTACATTGACTCAGCGCTCTAGTAATTTAATATAGATCTATGGTTTGAATTAAGCAACATCTATTAAATATCTGCACAGCAGCATCCGCACACTTACATTATTAGCTGATAATATATATGATTCTAATACAAGTTTAAGAACCTTAGAAGTTCACATATTTTGGACTATTCTAGGGATTACAGAAACTACTGTACATTGTACATGTACCAAATTGAGAAACATCGATAAACTACTGAACAGACAAACAAAATAAATAATTGTAAAGAATAATGATTTCTAAATAGCTTTTCCTACTGCTACAGGTAGATGTAATCATTTACTGAATGAAAAACAATAACGTTATATAAACCTATAGGAAACTGTACGGCCCAAAATCGCCCAGCGCATTACTCCCTGTACTGCCCAAACCTCCTGGGGCTGATTTCATGAAAACGTCTTACCCGCTCTAAGATTGATCTTAGCTGAGACGCGTCCTAAGATCGATTTCTCTAAACCCATCTTAAGCAAGACGCATCAAATCTACAATATGATGGCTGTTTCATTGTTGTTTTGTACCGCTTGAAGAAACAGTTGTTGAAAAGAAATGTGCAAAACAACTTCCCGCGCATATATTTATTAAGAACATGAACTTTTGCCAGAAAAATTACACCACTCAATAAATATCACACGCAAAGTTGGTCTACAAAAGGTACGAAAGAGTCGTTCTGGCTACCCATTTCATCACTCTTTTTTTAAAAAGTCGACTAGGTGTTGGCGTATAATTAAATTTTGTCAATAAGCTTTTTTGATTAAAACTACCCAGGTATCAGAAATCTTTTCAAATCTGTTTCCACAGCGGTTTTCTTCCTCGAAACTACAGGCATAACTCTAGGCCGACACTTGTCTTTAATGGCAAAGATGAGATAGGACAACCCTCAAACTGATCTTAAGTTACATTTGTAAGTCGAGTTCATCCACGTTGCTAAGGAAGTTAGGGCTTGTTGAACTCATCTTAACCCTAACCTCAATCCTCTAGAATCCTCCTGCCGGTTTTGGATGATTTTAGAGGATTGAGGATGAATGGCAAAGATGTATCGCTTTTTTTTGTGGAGGATGCATTATGTCAAGCCAGTAGGCCATATCCTGCACTGGTTATGTTCAGCCATGCATAAATCAGCCCTGTGTTTTGCTCATATTTCATCCGCACTGCTTCTAAATGCCATTCGCGATGCCTCAAACCATAGCAGTAATTGGCAGATGACTTTGGAGGATTGAGGCAGTGGTCACCCTCCACGGACTAAATTCAAGAAAATAACGGATTGAAAGGATTTTGGAGGATTGAGGCTGGATCCAATTTTTGTCTTGGTGGCAATTGGAGGATTTTCAGGATTGAGGTTGCAATCCCATCCAGAGGGCCTAGGGGTTAGGGTTAATTTGGTGAAATTGATCCTAGGACGAGTCCGAAAGAGGAGTAACTCTTCCTAAGATGCGTCTTAGCATTTTGTTCAATCGGCCCTAGAGCACTCAATGGTTTTATGGATACATCAGTGAATAAAGACAATGTAATACAATGTAGTACAGTTGCTAATATTACTCTACTGTATCACATGCTAGCAAGACTCGCCCGTGAAAATTGGGAGACTTACCTTCCATTTCACGAGGTCTACAACGCAGTCGAGGTCCGTTTGCTTCGTTCACACACAGCATGTGGAACCGTAGCGAGGGTTGAGCGCCAAGTCTGTCTTGGAGATACTCCAAGCTTCCTTCCTGAAGCTCCAGACCAGCGAGATGTACCGGCAACCCGCTGCCGGAATCTAGAGAGTCAATGGACGACAGATCACTGTCACCAGCTTAAAGGTACGTGGGATTGTTCGCCTGTTCCTTCATTTTTTGTTTAAAGCAACAAATTTGCTCAAAACTTAAGCGGAAGTTTTAGTTCAGTGGCTACGGTTACATTTTGAGAAAACAGAAAAAAATGCGCACAATTTTTGGGTCTCGTAACTGGATTCTGTTGCTAACGCAACTCAAAAAGTGTGCCCGCTGACACACTTTTTTAAAACAGCCTTTAATGTTTGTTTTCTCCTGAATGCTAGCATTTCAAGCTTTATAATTTTAAAGGTTTTTGTTACCATCCCTATCTTCACTTTGAGCAAGGTTTTTTCATTAAATCGGAAGGTCTATTTCTGGGTAACTACCAATGTTCCTAAAAATTGTTTTTAGGCTGGGGGAGGGGAGGGAACAGGTAGTAGGAGGCAGAGTTGTAACGAGCCACTGATTTTTGTGACTCGAGTCGAGTCGAGTCATTTTGAAGAAGTGACTCGAGTTGAGTCGAGTCATTAGGTCAAGAAAGTCGAGTCGAGTCTAGTCACAGTGTGTAGTCTAGTCTAGTCGAGTCGAGTCGAGTCAATATTTAGCTCGAGTCAATTCGAGTCACGAATATTTGAACACTATATTTAACAAATAAAGACAAGAGAGAAAGTCATTTGTATCACTAACAGTTTAACTTCAGTCTTATAATCTGGTTTGGCTTCGGGTCTAGAATTGTTTTCCTTTGAACCAGTAATCATGGTAATAGGCCTAGGCCTCCTATAGCACTCAAAAAAAAAAAACACTACTAAAAATGTAAATCAATACAGAAATTTGGGGGGGGGGCAACTCGGTCACGGGCGAATGACACAATCATCCCCACACAGATTTGTTTCATCATTTTCGTCGATAAATCCCCCTGAATATTCATTATTCATCCAGACACATCAGCTACAGAGAGACTACTGGTACCTTTGAAATTAGTATGTACCTGCTATTGAAAACCGGAAGTGGGCAAAACAAATCAAGGAACATGATGGATATCATCGTGTTCACGTTGCAGTGATGTTACAAATGATCAGCGTGCCCTAATTGACACATTTTCGAGAGGGAGTTAATTCATATGTCGAGTTTTGCAATGTACATGTAATTTATGTCGTACGAATTCATCTGCTCGACGTTGAAGGGTTAGTCTGGTTCTGGATAGTATTTCGTGCATTCCAGAACCGCAAGGTGGGAGTCTGTGACACGTTGTTTGTCTGTACAAGACAAGCAGCCGCTGTATGGCAGTGTATTCGCAAAGCGTCATGAGCATATTTTGCACCGTAAGTCATTGCAAATATTTTTCAAAAAGTTTTGCTTTTATTTTCAGTCAGTTGCTGTGTCACGCATAGCTGCTCTATTTTCTCATCCACACAACTGACAGCAGCGCGAGGCCAGCGAAAGATGGCCGTAAAAAGGGCTTCAGAAAATTCACAATTTTCATGGCAAACCACAACCGATCCAAACAAACAAAGTTGTTTTAGGTAGTTATTGACCTACTTCATACCCATCAAGGTATTTTTTCTCCAAAAAAAAAAGGATATCGATGCTTTTTGACGATATTATTTCACGGACAAATCTACTAAAAATTAGGTCATGAAATTTCCGTTTTTTTTCCGACAACGACAAAAGTCTCCCCAAAATTGCACGCTCGCACGTGCTATTCACAATGTTTTCATGCCAACTTACGTTGGCGTACTTACGTTCGTTTACACACGTACATGTTTGCAAATCACAAAATCTCGCAAAAGTCTTCATTTTTCAACCGGCGATTTGGACCAAACATTAGAGGTCTCCTGCACGTGTTTCACATGAAAATGAAGCGTATACATCCTCTATCTACTGAGCCTTGCCGTTTCTTTCGGCCTTTTTTAAGAATCGAATGTACACCTAAAAACTATCGGCCCTCGCTTTTGTTGATAAAAAATATGATTTTGTTGACAGGCCGTAACAACACTTTATATTTGTCAAAAGCAGTTATTTTTGGTATCAAAATAAAGCACACATTTCAACTTTTCATATATTTAGACATCTTGGCCAAACAGTGCATGTAACCAGGCACTTTTCGTGTTTTTCTGTAGTCTCGCATAAATCTCGTAAAACCTCGCAGACGCTTTTGGGCCATGCGTGCGCGACGTCAGGACAAGGAACTGAGGTCAAACAGGGCTGTGTGCGTGACACGGCCACTGACAGTTTGGGACTCGAGTCTTATTAGCCTTCGCTCGAGTCGAGTCGATTCTTCTGGAGAGGGACTTGAGTTGTGTCGAGTCATTTGCTCGCAGTGACTCGAGTTGAGTCGAGTCATTTACCCATAGGGACTCGAGTCGAGTCGAGTCACCAAAAATTGCGACTCGAGTCGGACTCAAGTCGAGTCATTGACTCGAGTCATTACAACTGTGGTAGTTGGGGGTAGGGAAAGATAATGATCCTGTATTTCACTATATCGGAAAATATGAGTTCAGATTTGAGGTTGCCTTCATTAGAAGGAATAGAACAGTATCCTACGGCATTAAGGAAATGTATCAACTTGTCATCTCTAGAGGGCGCCATTTTGAGCCGATTACATCAGCTTGCTGTACAGTGAGTTAAGGCATTCTTGTCAATCTGTCTGTCACTTAACCAGTTCGCATCGAGATTAGTTTTCGAAAAAGGCAAGATATAGCAGCCAACTTTTGATAAACAGCCAACGCCACAAATACTGATTCGCAAGAGTCATTTCAACAGTATTTTTACGGTATTTCTTGCCGAAACCTCATATGTTTCAATACTCCGAGGTGTGCACTGGAGCGTAAATTGTACAACAATAGGCCGTGCACAACGGCCAATTCAAGATCAACACACGGTCTGCCTCCACAGACTTCACAGACTTTGTGTGTGTACAAAAGGCACGAGGGATTAACGTGTTTAGAAGTCACCCGGAGGCGAGTCCAGGCAATCTTGACGTCTTAACCCATCACCCGTGCCTGTGTATAAAAACAGCCAGTGCGTTTTACGTCGTCCTCCGACACGAAGTGGTTAAAGGAAGGATAAAGTGTTGACTACCATGATCAATGCGCACACATTCCGTCGGTATGCTTTATTAACCCCGGATACAGGTTAATGCAAAATCTACCAAATGACAACTCAAAGAAATTATCCTTAAAGCCCCAGTCACACATTTACGGCTTGGAGCTAAGAATATTAACGGTTTACCAAGAATCAATCAATCATGATGAGCTGTCCAGATTCGTGGAGAAATCGACTTTCTAAGAATGCACTAAGCTTTCAGGACTCATAGCAACGACTGCCCTACGTTTCTCTACGAATACACCACGGTTTGTCAAGAATATGGACGGATTGGTGTAGAGTATCAAAGGTTTTACCAAGAATAATGACGTTAGCACCACAGTTGTCTGCAATTGGGCCACGGATGACCAGGTTCTCCTACAAATAAAGTGTGGATATTCAGAGTACAACCTTAGCAGAGCCCTACGGTAGCTCATCCAGGCCTATCTGTAAGACATTTGTAGCGAAATTGAAGAGATTTCTACCACGATTGAGCTACGGATCTCCAAGAATATGTACGAATAGCTACGAATAGCACTATGAATCAGAACGGTTGTCCTACGGATGTCCCACGTTGCACTATGGATTATTTTTCATGACGTTTCACCACGGAAGTACTGAACAGTTTAAAACTTCCGTAGCCCCTCCACGAATACCCAAGGGAGATGATGGATAACCACGAATGTACTAAGGATGAATACGGTACTCCAACGGTTTATCATGAATTTCAAACCGTGGAGATCCGTAGATCCAAACACTGAATGTGTGACTTTGGCTTACAAGCGTTCTTAAACAGGGCCCCGGGTATGTACAAAGGGTTGACCAATGTGGCAACAAAACTCACCACTTTCTCGTTTCTGTCGCCACTCGAAGTTTACAATTGGCGTATGCTGCACAATAATGTGGACTGGTTCTTTCCGCAATGCCACAAAGCGACCATACAGCTTCATGTTTTTGCTGATAAACTCCTCTGGGATGTCTGACACTCTTCGGAATCGCTGGTACTGTGATAAAGGAAACAGAATCAATGGTTAGATCAAAAGTTCAATTAGTTTAGAACAGTCAGGATCTTATTTGTAATTTAATAATAAGGCTGTGCATCGGAACCGGGTACCCGAGTACCCGACGTTGATGTCAGGAACCGGTTCCAGATTATGGGATCGGGTACCCGTAACCAACTTTACAAATTACTTTGTAACTTCGGAAACAATGAAAAAGAAAGGTTTCAATGTCATTTGTGGGGAATTTTCAATATGAAACCAAACTACATGAGAAACAAAACAAATTTCACGCTTATGAGGCAATGTTGCAGTTGACAACGTTAGGCTATAATATACAAATATTGACTGCTTCGAGTGGTGTAGTAAAACTAGCCTCCCGAGGTGATCCATGAAGCATTCTATTTTTCCTGAGGCAAAGCCAAGGGAAAATAGAATGCTCCATGGATCACCGAGTGCGGGTAGATTTACTACACCACGAGATAAAGCAGTCAATATTTGTTTTATAACACCTCTCCCACAGATTCTGTTTGATTTAAGCGATAAATGATTATTTAATCTGAATACAATAAAAATGTACTTCTATTTGAATGCGAAATTATTTGAAAATTAAACTGCACTTTTTCTAACTACCCCTTCACGAAATGTTTGAACCCAGCTCTGTAGCGCTCGCGCTTGGAAACAATACGCCCAGGCGCAACGTGCAACACACACACACACACTTTTTTTTTGCACACAGTGCGTATAGTACTTTGGTTGCTACGGGTATAGTACTTTGGTTGCTACGGGTATAGTTTCTTTGGTTGCTACGGGTATAGTACTTTGGTTGCTACGGGTATAGTACTTTGGTGCTACGGGTATAGTACTTTGGTTGCTACGGGTATAGTACTTTGGTTGCTACGGGTATAGTACTTTGGTTGCTATGGGTATAGTACTTTTGGCCGTGCACTGAAGATAGCAAAAATAGAAAGTACCATGTGACTCGTTCTCGGCCAATCAAGACACAGAATCTGTGGGTGAGGTGTTATAAAGTCCAATGTACACACTTGTATTTGTTGTATAGACGCACCGTTGTAGTAGTATTATCATGTGGCCCTTTATGAACAATCTCAACAGCACCTTCCGAGGTTTGGATTTTGGGTTGGATTTCTTTATAATTAACGGGTACCCGTGCACTTTTTCAATTGGGTACATGTACAGTTTTGTATTGGACGCTCAGTGATTGATGGATTTTGATGGCATTGGTCCAGTTCCTAGTAAAAGATGCTAGGAGTTAGAATTAAGGAGTAAATTATGCAGTCTAGTACAAGGGCGGATCCAGAGGGAGGGGGGCCAAAGGGGGCCATGGCATCCCCCCCCCCAAAAAAAAAACCGAATCAAATCTTTTATCTTTTTACATGACTTCGCAATAAAGGCAGGCAATGAGTAAACCACCATCTTTTCCTCAAAAAAAACATTGGTTAAAGTGCTCAGAAATTGCCTCAGATCGCACCACAGAGCATCTAGAATCAACGCTGTAATTTTTTTGGACACACTTTTTGGGGACCAAATATTTTTTGCCCCCCCCCCAAAAAAAATTGTGTTCTGGATCCGCCCTTGGTCTAGTATAAAAGTATAATACAAGTAGTGCTAATGGATTATGGCAAGATTAACTGTGGTTGTAATTCCGTTCATTACAACAGTCTTCTTATTATTATTCCCAAACTTGATGTGCCACCAAATTAACCCATTATGGTTGCAATACGGCAAATAAAAAAAAAACAGGTTAGTGTCCCCGCCCGCTTTCCTTTTTAGAGGCTGCCTCCTTTTTTCACTTCCTTTTTAGAGGCCGCCTCCTTAAAAAAAAAACCCAAACAAACCCAAAAATATATAAATTTTAGACAGCGACATCAATTTGGCTTTTTTGTCTGTTGCATCTAGTCCATATAAAGCTGGTATATCATTTCCTGAGTCCAAGTAGCGGCCATTTAAAAAAAAGCTGGCGGCCATCTTAACAAATAGGAGTGTCTATCGGTAAATAGGCCCAAATCCATCCGCCGAGCTCATGAATAAAAGTTATATCCTCAAAATATTCTCTATTAGAGAGTTCCGAGAGCCATAAAATTGGGGAATTGAAGAGATATAGCAATGAACCTCTGGCCTGGACTTGGGGCTTCCAATTCTGAGCATTTTGGATGCAAGTGGGCTCGAAAGTGGCGCTGTTTTGCCATGTTGTGGAGGGATAGTTTTTTTAAGATGGCTACTTTTCCGCTTAGGGGAAAATAAGGGTCGTCATCTTTGGGTGAGAATATCTCGAAAATTCAATGGTCAACCCACCAAAAAATGAAAAGAAAATGAAAGATGACATGTTGATCATCATTTTTCTGTGCAGCTTAAATACCTGTGAGAGTTCTGAGTATTTTCAAAACAATTTTTTGAAGTATGGGCATCTAGCACTAGTGTCTATGGGAATTTTACTACAGGGTTGCACTAACTGTTACCTGCTGAACTCAGAAATGTATTTATATTTATAATAATAATAATAAGATATTCTTAAATATAGCGCATTACATCATCAGAAAAATCTCAATGCACTTCACATGATAAAAATAATACAAAACACATGTAGTCCAAAATTAGTCGTAACAATAATGTCATTAGAACACATTAAAGTTAATTTTAAAATACATTAAATATTCACGTGTCTAAAGCATACTTACCACTCGAATGCTGCGGGCGATGACCAGCAAGCCGATTGCAGCAGTAACAGATATACTGGTCTGAAAAATATCACAAAATCCCAAAGACTATGTTAAATATTTTCGTATTGCATTTTGGGCAATCATATACCGGTACTTGTAGTTATGGGGCCCCTATTTAGTTTCGATCAAATTACAGTCAAGCCTCCGGTTTCAGTTCATTTCAGTTCTCTGAACTGATCCGAAGGTGTTTTTTATCATTCCAAAATGACTTCTCACATTTCTAAAGCCCCAGTCACACATTTATGGTTTGGAGAGCTGAATATCCACGGTTCCCAAGAATCAAATCGATCATGATGAACTGTCGAGATTCATGGAGAAATCGACTTTCTAAGAATGCACTACGGTTTCAGGATGGATAGCCACGACTGTCCTACGGTTTCTCTACGAATACACCACGGTTTGTCAAGAATATGGACGGATTGGTGAAGAATATCAATGGTATAACTAAGAATAACGACTGTGATTAGGCCACGGATGACCAAGGTTCTCCTACGAATAAAGCGGGGTATTCATAGTACAAACCTTAGCAGACCCCTAGCACATCCATTCACAGCCAATTCATAGAGATTTCAACCACGAATGAGCTACGAATCTAAGAAAATACGAATAGTCACAAATGACCAGAGATGCTAACTCGAGTCATGTGACTTGGACTCGAGTCGGACTCGAGTCACCATTTTTGTGACTTGTGACTTGACTTGTAAATACCAGCTTTGACTTGTGACTTGACTTGGACTTGCAAACAATGACTTGTGACTTGACTTGATATGCAAAAGATGACTTGTTACCAACCCAAGTCAGACGCTAGGTCTGCTGTTTGTAAAATATGTGGATCCACTGTCACTGATGGCCCAAACACAACGAGCAATTTCGTGCGGCACATAAAACCCACGATGAGCGGTGAGTAGTCGCGCTGTGACTTTTTTTTTCGGGGGGGGGCTTAACTGCGAATAGATTTTCGGTCATTCTGGGCTGCGTACAAACTCTTGCTTCATATGGCTATTGAATCTAAATAAGTTCTAGCCTCTAGTACTTGAAAATCTGCCCTAGACAGAATGTATATTTTCCCTAATTCCAGATCGGGCATGTCTGCATGTAAAGCTCCATGGTAACAATACAAAGTCTTTTTTTCATGTCATCTCAACATTTATTTCTACAATGTAAAGTAAATTTATTAAAGTATACAAAGGGCTAATATCCGACAGATATGTGATAAACTACAAGAATAGTAATTGCAACACATTGAAAAAGGGGAATTAGGAGGCATGTTCAAAATAACTCGTAAGTTGACGCCAGGTTCTTTTAGCTTATTACAGCTGGACAAAATAATGTGCAACTTGACGTGTTCTTGGACAAAGATACTTGTGACTTGACTTGTGTTTTAGACCAAATGACTTGTGACTTGACTTGTGACTGGACCTAATGACTTGTGACTTGACTTGTGACTGGACCTAATGACTTGTGACTTGACTTGGACTTGCAAACAATGACTTGTGACTTGACTTGGACTTGCAAAAAATGACTTGCTGCCACCTCTGCAAATGACACTACGAATCAGATCGGTGTCCTACAGATGTCCATGGTTGCACTACGGATTGATTTCATGATGTTTCACCATGGAAGTCAGGAACAATCTAAAACTTCCTTGGCCCCTCCACGAATACCCAAGGAAGATGACGGACAACCACGGATGTACTAAACAGGGTTTCATCTAGGATTTCCAAAACTGCCTGTCATACCCTGGTGCACTTTCTAAAGTACTGTAGCCCATGGCATCAAGCGTAGTGGACAGGAATGCACGAACTACACGTTATTAACAAGGCTTTGTCAATGACGTCATTTTTGACCAATGAGAGCACTGTAGAACAAAACAGGACTGTCGGCGCTTCATTCTCGGAAAGCCTCCTAATAGGACTAAATATTTTCAGCAGCGGACAGGAGCTTTAATACAAACACTGTGCCTCTCTGGTAATGGTTGGTTGGTTAGTTAGTAACAAACATCAGCAACAGCCTTGCATGGCTCTAAATCACTGTGTCCCTTAGGCCTGCAAATGGGTACTGGTATATCGTCATGTCCACGCAAACAGGGTCGTATCTCCTAAAAGGGCTGTACATGAACCTGAAATGCGAGTTACAGAATGTCAAAAGGTCGTACCGGTATCTCGCTTGAAATAACCCGGATGTACACACAAATTCAATGGACGTCGAGATACGACCTTGTTGCACAGAGCGTATTCGCACGATCGAGATAGGACTTTGTTGCAGAATGGAGTTACGACCTTGTTGCACTGATGCGACGATATATCAATTTGTGCCTCAGGTTGTTATGAGTTGTGAATACTTCTATTTCCAAATACAGCCATACGGCAAATGGTTCATTGTGCGTAATTGGCCCATCAGGCCCAGTCAGCCCAGTCAGACCGATATACAGACCCACTGATGGCTAGCTTTTAAATGTGTTTGTCCGAAAGTACACAGAGAAAAGTCAGGAAACTTTTGATTTCTCTGCCAACCAATCAACCAACTGAAAGTATCGATAATAAATGGCCGTCAAGTTATATACCATTTTTTTCTAAGAACTAGTACCGGTATTTGAGTACGAGTACTTTGATGATCGAGTACAATTCGACATGTCGAGTACGAGTACTTTTCTGCCCAAGCCCAAGTTCAAGTACCTACAATTTCGAGGTACTTTGTCATTCGAGTACGAGTACTCTAAAAAAAAAAGTAGTCGAGTAGTACTCGAGTACAAGTACTGAGTACGAGTACAACACTGAAAACACTCCTTCCAAATTACGTGACCCATCACGCACACATGCATGATGAACACAAATGCAGTGGCCCGCAGCTTCCGAGAACATTTCGAGTTTGTTTTCAAACTCTAAACACACACTATCAACATTGACAAAGGGCTAAGCCTCAATAGATCTAAATAGCATGAACCAGTGAACTTTCGAACTTGAGCGATGTATTTGTTCCATAGAATTATGTAGAAACCTTCAAATTGTACTTATTCAAAGTGGTTTCACACAGGAGGTAAAAGTTCTTCTTTGCATTTGATGTGTTTTCACGGACCGACCAGACCAAGTCAACAGAATCCAGTTCAAACAAATTGTTTTACAAGGTAACCATCGCTTTAATTTTGCAATCTACTTTTTGAGCTACTTTTTTTGTCAGCATATGCTTCTGACGGAATTTTAAAACTTTTTTTCCCATGAAAGGTTTTGATTTCTACCGCTAATTACAAACTCGTTATGTCTGGTATTTTTGTGCATTAACATACAAAGATATTTAATTCTCCTTTTTTTCAGGCGTGGATCCAGAGGGTGGGGGGTGGGGTAGGGGGGTCAAACACCCCCTTGCTCTGTCTCCATTTTTTTTCATAGAAATACACTAAAATAATGTGAACCCCCCCCCCACCCGACATCCCCCAAAGTATGATAGTATACTGTTAACATATAGTTTTCCCGGCCAATTTCCTAAAATGTTCATTCACTTCTTAAAATAAGTCATTCAGTTCATCTGAATTTGAGAATCGCTCTGAAACACGCGTTTCATTTTCGCTACCAGAGCATTCGATTCCATTTCAGTTCCATCAATTAAGTGATTGAGCAGCACCTTTCGTTTACTCCATTCAGATTCGTTTACAAGATCTGTTTTGCTTTTAGTGGACGATTTCAAACATTCACCATTCTACATTGTATTTCACTTTTAGTTTAATGCCATCGGCAAAAGATACAATTTAGGGTTTCCTTTTCATTTACCGTCAATCAAATGTACCTAAAATCAATTTACATGATTTAGAAAAGGTATGCTTGCATAAATGAATGCACATGTAACGTAATTGGCCGTCTGTTTCTCAAAACCGAATGCAAGGACAATGAAAACCATTGAACTCTCGTTGAATTGAAATGAGATAATGGGCGTGCATTAAAATTCAGACGAAAACGAATGACCGATTTCAGAAGGAATGAAACATTTCAGGAAATTGGCCGGGAAAACCTATAATATTCAGCTGTGCCAGA